CTGTAGGAGAAATCTTCAACCCAGCACGCACAAGATCCACAAGTTCAAACCAGTTTTTTTCTTCAAGCTGTTTTTTGGTCACGCCAGCATAGCGAAAGATGAGACATGAAAACTCTACTTGCTGTTAAAGGGAGATCCAAAGCCCACTACAATTCACATAGCCCACAGCTTGCTCCCAAAGACCAAGAATGCCTGCCAGGTGAATTTCTCTGGCAATAGTAAGAAATTGCTCCTACCTGGTACCTTTCCATCTCTGAGGATTTTCCTCTGTCTGCACAGAATGAATGTATTCTAAATACACATTAACTTCTGTGTATTTCTGGAATTGCTTGGACTACAATGTACACACAGTATTTTCAGTCTGTATGAGGTTTAATGTTGTTCAGTAATACATACATGTACAGTAAGATTCTCATGTAATAGGCAGCAGTGTACTTTGCCAGTCAAATCTCACAGAAAAAATATCACAAAGCACTAGATATGAAAGGACTCTCCAGTTACAGAGCCTGGTACTTATTTGAATTAAGGTTGTCAGCATTCTCCTTTTTAATCTCCTTTGGAAAATGGAGGTTTTTGACCCATGAATTAGACTAAGACTTCAGCAATCCAAAGTATACTTCGACCTCTGCTAAATAAGTCTTTGTGTGATCTTAAATAACCTCCTGTCGATACACGAATTTACATTGATGTTTCAGCCTTGTGAAGATCAGTGGGGATAACTGTAAGATGCTGTAAACCATATGGCACTCACGCATCTATCGAACTGTGGTAAGTTTAATGTTGTTTTAAAATGTTTTGAAACTCCTACAGAGATTTATACTGCCTGTGCCCACACTAGCAAATAGTGCAGTGAAACAGGAGTGTATCTGCAGAGTAAGACTTGACATCAATGCAGGGGAGTTCACGCTGGATTAGTTCCAGTTTAGTTGTATGGAGTATGTCCATCAGCAGCTGGAGTGCATTAGGTATGCTCCAGCAGTGCATCTTCACGTGAAAGGAAGAGTTTGCCACCTCTGAGACACAATCCAAAGCCTGGTAAGCAGACAAGGAACTGATTCCACGAGTGCATTTGTGATCTGGACTGCCATCGTAACGAATCTACTCAGAATAAAAACATGGATCTGAATCAATATGTAGACATGACTCCTCCAGAGCTACCAGTGAAATGCTGCCATGAAGGTTCCCTTGCTGAACAAAGAGAGTGCATCAGCTGAAGTCTTCGTGCACACACCTTACGAAGACATCAAACACAAAGCCCTCTTGCACACTGATCCCTCTGAACTACAGCCACTGTAACACACAAGTGTAAGTTGAGGCTATTCTAATTTTGTCCCCCTAAGATCAGGACAATACATCAATGCCACATTGGCTTTTCAACTCCTCAGCAACCCTAGCTGCAAACGTAGGCAAGTTAAAGCACAGTGTCTGTAGACACTGACTAGATCATGTTAACTCATGAGACACAGCCATTATTTTTTTCCAAGTAAAGAAAACTACTTCTAAAAAATCATGAAAAATATGGAAAAAACAAACAGTAAATTTTGATTTACTATTTCTCATCACAAGTGGGCACCCAATGAAATTAGCAGGCAGCAAATTTCAAGCAAACAGAAGGAAGTACTCTTTCACCAAGCAAGTAATTAAATTGTGGCACTCATTGCAACAGGATGCTATGGAAGCCAACAACATAAAAGAGTTCAAAAAATGTTTAGACAGATTTGTGGCGGATATGTGCACACACAGCCATCAGCAGCAATGATCCAGACACAGTCTTGGGCTCTGGAAGTTGCTCCCAAAGCTGTTCACTTCCAGAAGAGGAAAGGACATGCAAGGGAAAGGGTTCCACTTGTCTTTTCTCAATTCTCGTGTATCTTCCTTAAAGCCTCTTATAACAGTCATTCTTAAAGACAAGATATTGGAGAAAAAAATCCTGACCTTATAGATCTGTCTTTAGGTTTTAAATTGAGCTATGCCTAGACAGTATTTTAACGACACGCTCTGTGTAAAATAATGTATGAAAAAAGACGACTTTCATTTTGATTCGCCAACTCAAATCTTTGTTGTGTGAAGTCAAGACAACAAAAGCAATTAAATGTAGAAACGGGAAAACTATTAGAGAGTGGCAGATGGTATTTCAAGGAGGAACTATTTTAAGCTGATGTCACCAGGTAAAAAGCCTTGAGATATTAAAAGAGTACCCCAAGCAAAGCCAAATGTTTTTATAGACAAATAAAGATACCATCAGCACCCTGAAAAGCTTACCTTCTAGAACTCTGACAAGAACTAACAAGTGAGAGCAAAGGAGGCCAGTGTTCAAAGTTCTGTCTTGTCTTGCTGCTTCATTAGTAGTTTAAGAACGTAAGCAGTGTTTCAATTCCAATTATCACATACTGTATGTGCAAGATGCCGTGGGCAAAGACACGTGCTACAATGACCCAACAGGAGATAACAAAGATGAGGAGTCTGCAAGTATCAACAAATGACATAAAGGAAAGAACACTTTAGTGGGAAGCATATGATTGCATCACAAATGAAAATAAAGATGCTAAAAAAATAGTTCAGGTTGGGAAGGGTCATACAGATTAAAAAGAAGAAATCGTAAGGTTGGTCTGAGGCAAGACTGTGAATAAGCAAGCAAACGTGGGAGAAGCCAGAGGGAACACAGTGCTGGCACCAGCATGTGAACTTATTGCCAGGCTGTTGAAAACTAGTGTCTTACACAGACATTTGTTGCACTATTGCCCAATGAATGCAAGTAATGACACATCTAATAATTTTGAAATGGTGATGCCACAGCCATGCTCCTGAATAAATAAAATAATAAAAACACATAAAAACATCATCCAGTATCAACACTTTCCGGAAGAATATGATGATCAGGAATTCTGAAAATTACTCACACAGAGTAAGAAGCAGCATCTCAGATGTTAGTGTGTTTTGCAATGGACACACTGGGCAGAAACAGAGTATGCAGGGTAACAAGAGACAGACTGAAAAAATCTGAAAGCTTTTAGCAACTACATTTTTTGGACAAGATGAGCAGATTAGGAACAGGATAAAAGAAGATGTAAAGAAGACACTGCTTGCACCTAACTGCAGTCCCTTAGAACAGAGGAAGGACTTACACAGGAGAAAACAGGGAATTTATTTGACATAAAGCCTCGTGGTGATTTGATTCCTAAGAAGGGAAGAATTGTAGGGAAGGACTGCAGACTGAAATGAATACAAAAGTAAGCAAAGAAGAGAAATTACACTGGAAAGATAAATACCTGCTCTGAGAAAACCTATCAGCAATGATGCTCAAGGATCATTTTTCTTTCTTTCTTTTTTTTTTTTTTTTCAGTTGGGGCATGGGCATTAATTGGAGAAATACCTATATAATGTAAGCTACACAAGCTACCAACATGTGATGAGAGATGTGATAAAAATAAACAGGGTCAGAGTATCACTCAAGAAGCGGATGGTTTTAGGGACAGCAGTAGGGAGAAAAAGAACACAAAGTATAGCAAAACAGTATTAAAGACAAAGGCAGCTCCAGACAAAATGGGCAAATTTTTTTCCAGGAAGAGTGGGAAATACTGCTGCTATCAATCGAGACATAATAGGAAGTCCATCTGGAATAAAACATAGTCTGGTTAACCGAATTCATGATCAAAGCTGGAATGGATGTACAGGAGAAGAACAAGAATGAATGCAAACACACAGACAGTCTTTTGAGAGGCTTGGGGAAAAGAGGGGAAAACAAAAACCCAAAGAAGGTATGACTTTAAATACATCCAAGCTGCGTAAATCAAAGAATGTTGTTTCAAGCTTAAAGAGAGTAGATTTAAGTTGGATACAAGGAAAAAGTCTTTTACAGTGTGGGTGGTGAGGCACTTGAAGAGGCTGCCCAAAGAGGTGGTGGATGCCCTGTCTCTGGAGACATTCAAGGCCAGGCTGGATCAGACCCTGGGCAACCCAATATAGCTGTGGTGTCCCTGTTCGTTGCAGAGGAGTTGGACCGGATGACTTTTAAAGTCCTGTACTGAGGACCCCACACATGGACACAGTACTCCAGGTGAGGCTTAACCAACTCAAAAGATTCATTTTCACTTTTTATTACACCCTGAGATTAGATGCATCAACTACGAATTACAGCCAGATCCTGCACTCAGATCCACTTACACAGATCTTCCAAGATCCCTGTTGATTTTAATGGGCCTCTTAGCATGTATAAGACCTAAGATTAGGGCTAAAATTGCAAGCATCAGGTCGAAAGTTCAAAGGTACATTTTTAGAGGTAATCACTTTGCCAAAGAAATGATTTCTGTAAATGAGACGTGGGGTTTTGTTAGTTATCCACTTTCCCTAGTCCTTGTCTTCTCCCTCACCTTCCAAACTGAGACTTTTATTCATTTACGGATTCTCTCTGTTAGTGCGGAGCTGCTTAGCTGGACGAGGATCAAGGGATCCTATGATCCTGTCAGTACGAACCGGAAGGCCCGGCAGCCGTCCGTCTCCCCAAGCGCCCGCCAAGCTGCCCAGGCCCACTCACATCCCGTCTGAAAAGCGACCCATGGCAGAACCGCGGTGCCGTCAGCCGCTCCCCGCCTTCGCTCCCCGACCCCCGCCGAGCGCGCAGACCGCGGCGCCCCGCCTCACTCACTCACTCACGTTCTTGGTCTCGTTCACCTCGTTCCTGCCCTTCCCGATCGCCGCGCCGTCGTACACCAGCAGGCAGCCGACGGGCACCTCCCCGGCTTCCAGCGCCTCCTGAGCCTGCGGACGGACACGGCGCGGGGCAGCGTTAGTGCGGGGACGCGGGACGGCCCAGCCCCGCCGCGCGGCCGTCCCGGCTTCCCGCCGTGCTGACCATGAGGAAGGCCCGCTCCATCCACGCTGCCTCGTCCTCCTCCATGGCGGCCCGACAGAGCGCGGGCGCTGTTTCCGGGGGGCCGCGCGGGGAGGCACCACGGGCGGGGCCGCCGAGGGCTCCGCCGGGGGCCGCTGCCACCGCCCCTTCCGCCGACGCAGGGAGGTGAGGGGCGGCCGTGTCGGGCGCGCAGGATGCTCCGGTCGCTCTGGAGTTTCCTCAAGCGGCACAAGAAGAAATGCCTCGTCCTCGGCACCTTCCTCGGCGGTGAGTGCCCGCGGCGCGGCCGAAGGGGCTCCGTGGCTGCGGGGGGAGTCGCGGCCCGCCATTCTCGGGGACCCTCCGCTCCCCGAGTGCCGCCCGGCCGGCCCGGGCCCCAGCTCGCGGGGTAGCGGTGGAGGAGGGGTTGTGAGAGCGGCTGTTGGAACCGTTCTTCTTCCCTCAGAGCTCCGTCTAAGCCACGGGGCATGGTCTGGTAGGCTCCTCTTTGGAGTTATTACGAGATTAGTTCGAGTGGGATTAGATTTAAAGGAACGCCTCGGACCTGTCTCTCTGTGGCGATAAAACGCCACGCTGTGTTTTCTCGGCGGAGGTGAGGTGTTTCTCAAACGACGCGGCCAAGTCTTTGCACGTTCAGTCGTCAGATCTCCATGTATTTTATGCAAATGGCACAGAATTAAAGATCGCAGAGTTGCTAAGGAGCCTTTGATTTGTTTGTGCCCACAGGAACTTGTTTGAGCAGTTCAGTGTTCTGAAGGCTGTAAGGTTTCTGCAGTGCATTTGGTGTCTCTCTCTTTGTTGCTTTTGATTCAGGTGAGGCCTTCTGGGGGGGTGCAGTGGATATACCTGTGGCCTCTACACCCTTCCAGCACGGATTCCTTCTGTATTTTTCCAAAGGGTTCTGATGGGTGCATGATATTCGGTTAGCTGGTGTTCACGGTCAAACCGCTTTGCCTCTTCCCTGCAGGCTTTCTGCCTTCACAAACACAAAAGAAGGTTATGTTTACCTGTTTGAGCCTCCACGCTAGCAGCCCACCATGCTAAATTAACGAGGCTTACTTTAACGTGCCAAACTGTAATCTGCCAGCTGTTCCCCCTCACCTCCCACTGTCCTTGTGAGAGTGGCAGGCAGACAAATGGGAATAGAGAAAGTATGGGTTCTCCAGCCTCAGCTGGAAGTGTGGATTGATGTCTGACTGGGAAAGCAGGTACGGTAGAGCTGATGGCTCTCAGTAGTCCTGCCACCCTGAAATCCTGAGTTCATTACCTGTAAATGGCCCTTTGCCAGCCTGGAAGCCATCCTGGCATCACCAAACTTGCAGCTTTTTCCTGGCGGTTGGTACTGTTCATGTAGCACCACTTTCACTGAAATGCTGTTGACTGGATGAAGTATATTTTTAAAAAAAGCAACTAACTAACTAAAAATCAGGGACAAAATCAAAGTCATTTGAAGTGCTGCCAGACCTAAGGAAAAAAAAAAGACAAAAAAAACAAAGTTGTTGTGCTTCTGAAAAATCAGCTTATCTGCTGATGTAATGTCAGAGACTGTAATTTCTGGTGTTTTTCTTAAGAGCTATAGTTGCACTTGCTGGGAAGGCAGAAGTTACAAGGGAAAACAGAGCATCACAAAAGCCTAAGGATTTTAAGTCTTTGGCTCATGGACAGAGTGCTGTGAGTATTTAATTATTCATTAGACAGTACAGAAGAGTCCCTGCATTATTACTGGTGCAATGTTTTATCAGTGAGTTACTGAAGAACCATGAGTTGGTACTCGTGCCTCTGCTTACTGAGACAAATTCCTTGTGTGTTATTGGTGGGTAACATTCTTAATGCAATTTTTGTGAATCCCTACGCTCTGTCTCATAAGCAGAAAAATCTTTTGCAAAACTCACGAGATAAGTGCTCAAATTGATAGAAAAGCAACTGAAATAGGTGGATTTTTCCCTTTTATTGAGAGCACCTGAACTTAGGAAAGACCACCACATAGAAACCCATTCTTCAAGGGTCTGTTCTTTTAGCAATATAAAGTAAATTGACTTCACAGAATCACCAAGGTTGGAAAAGACCTTCAAGATCCTCCAGTCATCCACCTATCACCAATAGTACTCGCTAAACCGTGTCCTTCAACACAAAATCCAAACGTTCCTTGAACACCTCCAGGGTCGGTGACTCCACCACCTCCCTACGCAGCCCATTGCAGTGTCTGATACTCTTTCAGAAAAGTAGTATTTCCTAATGTCCAGCCTGAATCTCCCCTGGCACAGCTTGAAGCCATTCCCTCTAGTCCTAGATTTAAATCTCTTGAAGTAAGCAAAGTCTGGGGTTCAAAGTTCAAACCCATGAGAAGTGTTATTTAAAGCAGAGAGAAAGAGCTCGCGTGTCTCAGCTGTGAGGACATATTGCATCCATTTGTTCTTACTGGACAAGTAGATTTAAACTGGCTTTTATCTCAATGCTCAGCATTCAGTGCAGATTGCGTTGGATATTACAAAATGCTTCACTGTTGTCATTATCTCAGTGTTGTAGAAGAGCAAGTGCAGGATGTGTTTGAAATGTGCAGTTCTGATTTCAACAGTGAATTAATTGTTACTCAGTTTCATCTGTTGCAACCTTCAGCTTGCAGGAAGAGCATTTTGGTTCAGAAGTCTTCTTACTTGGGATGGTTGTGTTGGTTTGTGAGAGAGAGCAAAGGCATTCAATGAGTTCTGATAGAAGTTTGTGGTGCCAGCAGAGGCTTTGAGCTTTCCTATTTTGAAGGTACTTTTTAAGCGTAACAGAATGATTGTGTGTCAGCTGATGTGTGGTTTACTTGTATGTAAGAGCTATTGATGTTCTGGAAGAGTGCAGACTTGTGTATGTCAGCACCATTTCTACATAATGAAATTCTTGAAGGTATTTTTTTTAATTATTTTTTGAGGGAAGTATGACAGCGGGGTAAAGATCACATAGACTTGTAAGGAGATTTCCTGAAACTTGATGCCTCCTAGTTACTGGTTGCACCTGTGAAGAAAGAATCATAGAACGGCCTGGGTTGAAAAAGACCACAAATGATCATCGAGTTTCAACCCCCTGCTATGTGCAGGGTTGCCAACCACTAAACCAGGCTGCCCAGAGCCACATCCAGCCTGGAGGGGAAAAAGGAAAAAGCTTAGGGAGAAAGTCATTACTTAGGTGTGATGGGAGAAATCTCCAACTGGTTTGAAATCACTGTCATGAATGTGTAAGAGCCTGTGGATTTTGTAAGCTATTTCCATTACTTCTATCTAGGTGGGAAGAAACTATACAGCAGTGATAAACTGGAGCATGTTTCTCTCAATTCTCTGATAAATTGCTTCCACAGGAGACAGATATTATAGACCCAAACGTCGCATGTGTTGTAGGTCAGCCAATGTATGTGTTTCACTTTGTAGACCGGTTACAGAGCAATAGGAAACGTAGTTCAAGATCCTTGCTGATGTTCCTATACCTGAGTGCACCGGTGTCAGTGGCTGTAATCCTTCCTTGCACCACTAATCTGCTTCTCTGAACCTGTGGGCTTCAGAAATACTGAACCACATTATTGAAGGTGGAGATGGTTTCCATAGAAATTATCCTTTGAGCAGTCTCATTATTGCTGAATTTTCTTCATTCCTGCTTTTGTACGGGACACATGGGAAAGGTAATGTATGAAAATCTGTCTGTACAACTGTTAGCTAATTAGATATGAGCAAATGCTGCCACTGCCACTTACTGCTGACCTCCTGTCTCCTACTGAGAAGTAAAATGGAGATATTTTAGCTGTTGTAAAAAGTTGACGTTTCCTTTGCTTGTTCTTAACAACAGAAGTCTTCAAAACATCGATTTCATTTCTTACAATTACCTTAGCTGATGTTGGCTTTATGGCAGTTGTTAGGATGTGACTTGCTCTGGTCCTGCTCCCAGCTCTTCTCTGCATCGATACAGATACAGCATTTCTAAAGCAAAACGTGAGCACACACGCAACTCCCAGGCAGGCAGCTCCTTGAAATACCCCTCAATCAGGAAATGTGCATGCAGCAGTAACTCGTGTCAGGGTTCGTCTTCATAAAGCTGCAAGAGCAGGACTGGAATTCCCTGAGCACAGCATCAAGTCCTGCAAACAACTTGAGGCATTTAGGAGAGCAGTTGGTATCCATGCATTGCTCACATGCAAAAACATTTTTTTGCTCATTGTTTCTGCTTAAGCTCTGTGGATGATGCAGTTTTTACCTCAGCTCACTTTTTATGCATCGCATTCTTACAGGCGAAGCTGGAGTGCACAGTATCAGTTAGTGGTGGGTCAAAGTTACACCTTTGTTCGGAGGAGGAGGGAGGAAATTGAACTCCAAATGTGTTGCCTCACTCAATTGCATTGAAAGCTGGATGGGTGCTAGTGCAACTTTGGACCCTCGTGAGATAGGTGGCAGTTTACTGCAGAGTGCCCAACTGTTAGGCGATTAGTGCCCTCCATCTTACTTACAAAGGTGTTGCTCCTGCGTATTACTAAGGGGCCTGCGCATGGTTCTTGTTGTTTCCTTCTTACTGTCTGGTGACTGCCATGCCATGTGCAGGAAGAGCCTTTTTTTAAACCTGGGTGACATTTCTGTCACAAAACCTGGAGTTAAATGGCTTATTTGGGGAGGAGGGGGAATGAACCAAAGCTTGTCTTTTGGACACATGGTTCTGTCTGAATGCAACATATGTGGCGGAATTAAATATGGTTGGAAGAATCTTGTGTTCAAAAACTATTTGTTTAGAATAAACAAATCAATTGCTGCTGTTGCAGTAGGCTGTGAAAATCAGCATCCTGAAGTTTGTGTTCTAAATACATATTCTTGACAGGAATTGATTGTGTTTAGAAGCAAAATTATTGTTATTTATGAAGTCTCATTTTGGTGAAGAGTTTACAGTGGTAAAACTGCACTTTACATTGAGGAAGCTGTAGCATTGAAGTTTGCATCTGATGGGGTGATTCGTGACAAGTGCTGGCTGAGTCTGCCAGAAGGTTGAAGCAGGAGAGCTCGACTTTCACTTGTTTCCTAAAAGGCTCATAAGATAAAAAAATGGAAGTGATCAAGATTGTTCCAAACTGGTCGGGTTTGCAATTGCGGATTGGGAAACGTGCTGCCAGTATGAATTGAACAACTTTTTTCTTTTTTCTTTTTTTTTTAATGACCATAAATATTAGGGCACAAAGTTGACAAACCTTTTGAAATAGTGATGGTAGTTTTGTAGAATATAGTGACATGTTTTAATGACCAAAAAATGGAACTGAATTCAAAATTGGAGTAGTGCTGTTGTTTGCTAATTACTATTAAAATACTTGAGACCCACATATCTTCTCTCAAATCATTTCATACCCTTACGGTTTTAAGCCAATGAAAGGAGCTGAAAGGGGCTTTGCTCACATTTTAAAAGCAGTTTGTAATCTGAAAATCTCTCTGTAGGTGTCTATTTACTGGGGAAATATGGGCAGAAGAAAATCAGAGAAATCCAGGAACGAGAGGCAGCTGAATACATCGCCCAAGCACGAAGGCAGTATCATTTTGAGAGTAATCAGAGGACATGCAATATGACAGGTAAGATAAAGAAATAGTTTATGTTCCTGAGAAGTGGAATTATTTGGGGATTTATAACAGTAAGAAAGGAAGGTGAATTCAAAGTCTTAACTAAGTAGCAGTGTGTAAATTATAGTCATCTTATGACTTCTGACTAAATTGGAGGAACAGAGGATTGAAGAGATTTCAAGGGGTCATTGTAATCCTTGGTTTGTGTGTACTCATCTATTATGTAATGCGTGATTTATCAGTTCAAGACCCTTTTTTATGTTGCTCTCAACTCCATGTCACATGGATGTGTGAAGCAGCACCCAGAATTTACTGCAGGATTAATTCCCTTATTCATTGTAGCACATGGCTAGTAAACCACACAGAGATCTCAGAGGGTAATTGTGATTTGCAAATATATTCTATTCCCTACACTTAATTCCCTACACTTGAACAACTGAAAGGTACCAAAAATAGTGATTTTATTCTAGCATTTATCTCTGCATTTGGGAGGATATGAGTCTGAACACAAACCTTTCAAAACTATTTCTGCAACACAAATTGGGCAGTGCTTTCTTTTCCTCTTGAAATTTGTAGTGGTTTATGAAGTGACTGCAAATGGTTTCTGTGCACTTTGTTTACTCTGGAGCAATTTGTGTTTCTTTATTATCTTTTTCCATTTGGTATTGACTGCTGGTATTGACTACTGCAAGGACTAAGCCTTTATTTGCCATTAATTATACAAAGTATGTTCTGTACAGCAGCATGCATTTTTGCCAAGAGTTTTTCATGTTTTGTGGCGTTGATCATGTTCTGCGAGTGCTTTTGTTTACCACTTCTTGTTCCCATTGTATAGTGGTAGACTAGAACTTGGATGTTTTGGAAATCAGGCATTTTCTTCCACCAGCTTTCCTTTGATTTAAAATATACCTTTCCTATGTTCTCTTACTGTGGGGGGTGGAGGAAACAAAAACAAGCAAAAGAACACTCAGATTTGTTCTTCCTATTTGGGGAAATACAACAGTGTGGATGAAAATCCACTGATTACTCTTCTGGGGAGTTGAAGGTGCATATACACAGATACTGCAGGATGTGAGCATTTCTCTGCAGGCAGAGTCAGGAATAGCCATGTAGCCATGTAAGGGCAGCATTCTACCCAAGCTGGAAGGAGGTGTGCAGGACAATTGCAGGAGTTCCTAGGTTGCTTGTCCTCCCAGCTTTGTATGTAGAGTAAATAGGACCAATACAGTATAGCAGCTGTCGAGTAAGTGTGGGGTATGGATTAATGGTGCTTTTTGTATGTTGAAAAATTTTGGTTTACATTTTTGTTTTTTTTCTTTCAATTACAGTGCTGTCAATGCTCCCTACATTGAGGGATGCCTTAATGCATCAGTTAAATTCTGAGAGTCTCACATCTCTTCTTAAAAATAGGTAAGATTACTTCATTGTGTTGAAGATAACTTGTTTTGATATCTTTTTTTTTTTTCTCAAATGATGTATTTATAATGTAGAGAGTGTGCAGGATTTCTGTTCTGCGTCCTGTTGAATAACTAGTCTTAAGGCATTTTGAAATCACTATATAAATATTTTGTCATGTTAGATGTAGTTTGGTAGGTAGGTATAGCATTCTCCAAACTTTACAGGAGATAGTTATCACTTTCAGATGTTTCAGTGAGAGCCATGATTTTTGTTAAAATGCTCTATTTAAGGGAAGATTAGATCCTATAAGTACTTTGTCTTAAATAGACTATCTTAACTATGTTGTTTTTAGTTGGGAGAATGTTTATGTAATCTTATAGAGATCAGATATGATTGGTAGTAGAAGGTATCTGAAATGATGTTACAAATGGAAGTGAGTTATCAGAAGTTAAAGAGGCATGTCATGCTTTAAGACAAATGTCTCCATGTCAGAAAACACCTTTGTTTTCATTAGAACTGTAAGAACAAGTGGCATATTAAATAAAGTGTGTAGTAGCATGCCTTAAAAACTGCTTGGCATTGAGGAAGGAGTAAAAGTGTTACTGTAGGCCGTTAACATAGGATTTCTGACTCCCCCAAGGCTACCTTTCCTGTTTAGCTCCTGCTCACTTATTTATATAGCTGTAACTTCAACTGTCCAGCATTTAATAAATTGGCAATCCCATCATTGACTTTTTTTCCAGTCAAATACTCTCCCAAGAACCTGACAGAATGTGATACTTAGAATGGGAATTATGCTTAAATAATGGCTTTATAATATGTGATGTGAGAACCTGGGTACTGTAGTTGAGTGATAGTGAACCCAAATGAGAAGTAACTGGAAAAAGTTAGTTTGTATGGAATATTTAATGTACTTCCCATAGTTCTACTTAATGAAAATTAAGCTGAATGAATAAGGGATGTTGTGGATGACCAGATTTGTCTTCTGGACTATAGTCTCTTATTCCATGTCCAAAACAAGTAGTGGCCTTGTTTGTTCTCTATAGCATGTGTTCTTTGATCAGAATGTAGCCAGTGTCACCAATTTGTTGAAGTATTTGGAGCAGTTTATGGATACAGAAGCAGACTTCTGGATTCCAATAATCCCAGCAGAAATGGTGATGGGACTTGTGCATAACTTCTGTTATGCATTTCTGAGAACAAACGAACGTGTGTGTGTGTATGTTTAAAATATTGGTTACATGCAGCTGAGACCATGAATATCCTTGGATACTCTAATTTGGAATGTATTTTACAATAGAGCTTGTGCTTCCTTTTTTGACTTACGCGGAGGAAGTTCCAAATAGATGCTTGAACTTTTTGAAGGGTAGAGAAGGGGCTGGGAGGGACAGATCATGAAATGAGGCTGCAGAGCAGGCTTTAAAGAGAGCCTTTCAAGAAGCTTTGCATTCAGGTGCTGTACGCAAAGGTATAGGTTTGTTTTCTTTCCACTTTGATTTTGGAAGATTAATCACATGGCTCTGGACCCTTCCAGTGCCACTCTTGTTGCCTATGCAAGAGTAGATCCAGAGACATTCATCTTTAGCATCTGTAAATAAACGGTCTTTTTCTTTCATCATCTGTGAGAAATCCTTTAACTTAAAATCCTTTCAGTTCCTTAAATTTAAAACCTTTTTACATTATTTTAGTAATCTGGGGAGGATAGGAACAGATTGGGAGCATAAGCAGTGTAAGAGACTGACTTCTTCAGCCTTCCAGGCAAACTTTTTAAAAGTGAGCACCACACAAGGTTATCAGTGCTCTTGTTCTGTCCTACCTTTCTCAAATCAGTGAGATTGAATGAGGTGGGGAAAATAGTTGCTGCTGTAGTCTTGCAGATGTTGCATATCTCCCATGTACTCATTACAAACTTTATTCCAAAACTGTGTTTATGTTTGTATTACTATCTGCATCGCTTCTGCTTTTCTAAGTAAAGAAATGCGAAATAAAAATTGAATAGTACGTAAAGACTGAAAAATCTATTTCCATTAAGCCACTGTTGGGCTTAATGCTTGCAGTCTTAAGCTGTTAACTGATTGTTGGCTTATGTTGTGAGAAAAGACTTTGTAATAAAAAAAAAAAAAAGTATTTTTTTTTACTGTAAAATACAAATGCATTTGGCTCATGTTGGTGTGCTGTCCTGTCTTCTGTTGGCATAGAAAGTATATTGCTTATAAGTAAGGCTTTTCGTATTGAGGCTTGTCATGTGTTTCACCTACAGAAATATTACTGTCTCTTTTTGAAGTCTTTGGCTTTTGAATGAGTTAAAGCTGTTGATTTTGCTTGTAAAAAGTGAAGTGCTATGGATTCTTCTCTCCTTTTTTTTTCTTTTTTAAATATTCTTCTTTCTGGAGTTGTAGATTTAATAGTTTATAATTGTGTGCATTAATAATGGCAGTGAGCTGAAAAATTATCTGTGATTGATAAAATGGTCAAACTAATGCTAAAGTACACGTGTTTCAGAAAGATAAAAGCATCACTTAATGGTTAACTGAGCCTGTGAAAAGTCTATGTATTTTATTAACTAGATTACTGTAAAATCTAAGAACAGGTTGGCCTGCACTGTGTGTGCTAAATATTTAAGTGTTACTTCTAATCCCAAGCAATTACCACGTTTCTCTAAGTTACTTCTGCGAATTGATTCCTCCACAATGAGATACTGTAGACATTACTTACTGATACTGATCCACGTGAGAGAAGGGCTGAATAAAACTCTTGGGTGGTTAGCTTGCTCTTACGTCTGCTATTGCATTGCTAAAATCATGTCTCTTTACTAGTCCTAAATATGCCATAGGTCTTAGATGCGTTTATGCATGCAGGCAGGGAAAATAGGCAAGTTGAATCTGAGCCAGCAGCGTGCCCTGGCAGGCCAAGGAGCTGCCATAGCCTGGTGCAGCAGGGCCAGTACTGCTGCTGAGTGATGGTGAGGGGTGTCCTGCACTGCTCTGCACAGTATGGCTTCACCTCCAGCACTGGGTGCAGGTTTGGGTGCCGCAGTATGAGGACATCAAGCTATTAGAGCATCCATGGGAGGGCTACAGAGATGGTAGAGGGTCTGGAGGGCCAGGTGTATGAGGAGCGGCTGAGCTCCCTTGGTTGGCTCAGCCCAGAGCAGAGGAGCTGAGCGGAGCCCTCATGGCAGCTGCAGCTCCTCACAGGGAGCAGAGGGGCAGTGCTGAGCCCTGCTCTCTGTGACAGCCACAGGGCCGAGGGAACTGCATGGAGCTGTCAGGGGAGGGATAGGCTGGGTGTCAGGAAAAGCTTCTTCACCAAAGAGTGGTGGGCATGCAACAGCCTGCCCAGGGCAGTGGGCAAGGCCCCAAGTTTGGATGATCCTGTGTAGAGCCAGGGGTTGGACTCAATAATCCTTGTGGGTCCGTTATAGGTTGGGTATTCTGTAATTCTGTACCGTCTGTGTTCTTGCTTTTTGTCTGCAGAGCATATTTATCTTAGAAATCAGACAGACCAAAAGGTAAATATATTTCAGTGGAAGAAAAACCCTTGAGTTTACAGCATTTATGTGGGTACACTACTTTTCCACATATGGTCACAATCGCTTCGTTTTTAGATAACCTAGTCAGTATTTTAAAACCAAGTCAAACAGTGGTAAATCTCCTAAGCAAGGAGGATAGAAATTCTGATCCTTTGCTTATTATGCACAGGTGGGTACAGAAAGCCCTACTGAACTGAGGTCTATGTTAAATATATGCACAGTCAAGGTCCTAGGAGGAACTACTTTGTGTACAATCCATGTATTTTTTCTGACTGCTTAGTACAGGAACTCAAAATTGATGGTATAAATGTAATTGACATCAATAAATACTGTATTTAAACATTTAAATTTGGGTATCTTTTCTGTGACTTCATGCATTGCTTATATACTGTTTTCTTGAATGAAGTAAATCACTGTAGAGGTAAATCTGATGTAAGTAATTATAATAGTTAAATGAATTTGCCTTGGAACACTGACGTTTTATTTACTGTGTTTATTAATGTCCAAGGAAAATATACAGTGCTTGATAGTTCCATTTATTTTTTTCAATTTATATTATTATTATTACATTAATTATAATAATTTTTTTCAATTTATTCTTTTTCCCCACAGGCCAGCAAACAAGTTAGAAATATGGGAGGATTTAAAGATAATAAGTAAGTGTAAATGAATGATTCCATCTATCTAATATTTAGTATAAATTTTAAAATGATACCGTTCAAAGTGCACATTTCACACTAGAATAAGTTGTTGTTTCAGTAGGTAATAAGATAGTGTGATGTGATATTGAGCAAGTTTCTCATACGCTCTCTCACAAAATTTCCTTATTAAGGACTTTTTCATATTACCCATGGAAGGCAGATGCTCAAAAACCAATGTGAAGGATTTTATTGGCCCTCGTATGTTATCCTGCTCAACAAAACTTTGTGAGGACTTTCTGTACAACCACAGAAAAATCAGTCTGGTTTTTCACAAAGTTCAATTCTGAACATAGCAGAAAACATCTCTCAGTAATGTACTCCAGCCCTTGCACAGCCAACAGTTTTCTCTTTTCAAGCCTGTTTGAGGTCACCATCACAGCAGAAGTTATGTGAACCCTTTGGTTCATCATTTTATATATTGGTTGGTGCAAGCAGTGGAAGGGAAGTCAGATAACTGTGTAGTGAAAAATCACTAGACTTTTAAATATTATTATTATTTAATACTTCTGATCCATTTTTTATGCCTGCCATCACTGCTTCCCTGATTTTGGCTACTTCTGCTGTAGGTAACTTTTTTTTTCTCCCGTAACTGCTGTTAGACATTCTGTGTCTTAGTTGTGTGAGGGTTAACACACTTTGTGTGTTTCCTGGCCTAAGATAGAAAGAGAATCTGACAGCACTGCTACAGGGTACACCTTCTGGAGCAGTTTCTATAATTATATGAGACTTTTGGGCACTGGAACAGGCTCCCCAGAGAAGTGGTCACAACAACAAGCCTGAGTTTAAGAAGCATTTGGACAAGAGTCTCAGATCTGCAGTGTGATTTATAGGTGATCCTCTCTGGGGCTGGGAGTTTGACTCTGATCTCCGTGCGTCCCTTCCTACTCGGAACATTCTCTGATGCTGTGATTAAAATGGGGCAGTGCTTCAGCAGATGCTCCTGCACATATTAGACTCACGGTAATTTGAGGCATGTTTTATGAAAGTATGTGTTGAGACAACCAATGAGAGAAATCGCTGTGTGTTTAAAAATCGTCAGTACTTTTGGGTCTTGGGAACACCCTCCTTTATTGACTCACCCTTATTTCCTTGACTTTGAAATTGCTGTGTTGTCTCCCCTCAAGGTTTCACAAGAAGCATTGTTGCTGTCTATAGTACCTGTATGCTGGTAGTTCTTTTGCGAGTCCAATTAAATATTATTGGCGGTTACATCTACCTAGATAATGCTGCAGTCTGCAAGAATGGCACAGTAAGTTTCTTGTTTTAAAGGTTGGAATTTCATGTTCTTGGGAGTGAAAGAGTAAGTTAGTGAGAGATAGGCATAGCTCAGCAATATTTGAATGAACAAGTGTCGTAAGATGGGGAGACATGAAGGGATTACTGATGGTAAGGTTTGTTGATATTTTATTGTAGTCTCTAAATTCAGATTATTTGGGGATAATTTGGCTTAACAAAATACTAGCAATATTGAATAATACCTTTTGTCTGCGTTTGTATTGCTTTAAGACAGCCACTTCAATCTGAGCATCAAAGTTAGTCATTTCTTTGCTTTCTGTAGTCTTTTGTGTAACATTGTGCAAATTATCCAAGATGTGTATGCAAATACATCTATAAATGCTCAGTTCTTCCTAGCTTGTACATTAATCTCCTCAGTTAAATTCTCTTAGTGTTAAAGGAAATGAAATAAAGACTGGTTAGTTGTTTTGTTTTTTTTTTTTAACTCTAGAAGGCCACCTAACGAAGTATCTGTTGATGAGGTGGAAGCTTGGTTTTTGTTTATACAATGTATCTGCTGCTCAATAATAGTAGATTCTAGACTAAATGTCTAGAATAAGATCTGCATATTGCTGAACAGCTCACCTAAAAATAACGAATGCAAACTTTTGTTAGTTGGTATATGCTCCTCTCAGATCACTATTGCTGGGAGTCCAGGGACAGCACGTCAAGGCAGGTCTGAAGGGTCTAGAAAGCTTTCATTAGGGAAGCCAGAGATGATGGAGCTCACGTTTGCATTTTGTAAAGTCTGAAAAGGCTTTTTTGGGCAAAGAGGCTCTGGAGTAGAAATGTTTCTTTTCTATTAGTTTTCCAGTAGAGGAGTGGGTTGACAGAATCAGCTTTGAGGCACTTAGCTGGAACAAACAGACATCCTCTTCAACTCCCCAAAGCTTTGTTTTTTATCAAGGGGTTTCTCTGGTTTCTGCTAGGGTTGAGCATAAATATCCTATTTCAGCAGGTTTAATTTTTAGGGTGGGGACTGTTATCTCCCATTTCAACTATGACAACTTGTAAATGTAGGTGTCCTGCTGTTCCTCATAGCCTGCTTAAGTATAATGAAAATATTGGTAGGAACATGTGATTGGAAGGAACCACAGCAAGCTGTGAAATACTGAGGGGAAGATACAATTAATTTTTAAATCCTCTCTCAGTTTTTCTTTAAAGAAACTTTTCATTTTCATATTCTGTATTTTCCAGTACTGTGATACAGAGGAAACTTCTCAGCAGATAACTACTAAGTTACTAGTTATTTTCCAGACCTGCACTGAGAGTGGGGGGCTCTGCCTGCTGTAGGGTATTATAAAGATGAAGGAAAATGTTTGCTACCTGTTCGAAATGATTTTTGTGTTGTTTTCTATTTTGTTTCACAGAACTTTTTCTTTTCCCCCCACAGACACCATTAGCTCCCCCTGAGGTTCAACAGCAATATTTATCAAGTATCCAGCACCTGTTAGGAGATGGTATGATATTTTTTATAAACCACTTACAGGATGCTCCTTTTCTTTAGACTTAAGCAAATAATTAGAATAACTTTGACACTTTTTTTTTGTTCTAGGACTGACTGAGTTAATAACTGTTGTTAAACAAGCTGTGCATAAAGTTTTTGGAAGGTAAGAGGTCCATATTTCCTGGTAGCTAGCTTTTTGTCTTTACCGTGGTGACTGCTCCCACAGCAGTGAGTTTTATTAGAATTTAAAAAGTGGAAAAAAAATGCAGACTGACTTTTTCCAAGACCAAGCTTTTGGCAGGTTGGGAACACAATAGTGCAGACCAGTATCGATTGGGATCCTATAGTGAGCATATTATCAGTAAATAAACACTACATCATTACAATCTTGACTGCAAAATTAATAGTCTTTCCATCTTCTCAGTATTTCCCTTAAGCATGCCCTATCTCTTCTGGAGCTGGAACAGAAACTAAAAGAAATCAGGAAAGAAGTGGAACATAAAGATTCAGATCAGGTCGCACCTTATTCTCCCTTATGTCATTATTTGATGCCAGATGAAGAAAACCCCCTCGCTACCCAGGTATGTATTTATTTCATCTAACTTTTTTATTTTGGAGAGGGATGAGTGCATAACTACTCTAATTACATTGTGCTAACTGAATCTTTGATAAATGGCAGTACCTCTTTCTTTATAAATGTGAAGTATCCTTATCTCTTTGGTCTAGGATGAGGAAAGTTGTACCTTCTTCACACTTGATTGAAAATGTCAACTTTGAACTTGGAAACACAGCCATGTTAGTGCTTTTAGCCCATGATTTATGCCATAGCATAGTGCTGCTTAACATAGTCCAAAGCTGAAAAGTATTACCTTTTACTTGTGCACCAGCAAAGAGCCTGAACAGTTGGCGTCATCTCTGAAAGAGATGCTGTGCTGGAAAAAGTGATGGTGTGCCCAAGTCTTTTTGTTGATTTGAGAAGGAAAATGAACAGGAATCAGGAGCCAGGCGTATCTTATCTAAGTGGCAACATTAATGTAATTTCCCAAATTTTCTAACAGTATTTGACTCCAGCCATATCACAGGTTGGTGAAAACTGGTTCTCAACTTGATATTATGCTGGTATGAAGAAGAAACTGAGGTTTCATTGTGTGACCCCATGCATTTATCTCTTAAAGTTAACATGCTAACATGCAGCGTTTATTTCACCTGCTTGATTAGCATGGTATTTTCTGCCAGTATTTTTAATATATATATATATTTTAAGTAAAATAAGAAATCACACACAAAACCAGTGACCAGTTACAAGCAACACACATAAACTTATAAAGAATCTGTGATAAATTGTTTGTATTAAATAGATGTCTTAACAGTCATCTTGACTTAATGCCATGACATAAAATTATTTCCACCCTTACTTTTATGATTCATATGGATTTCTCACTAATTGGCATCTGTCTTGTTTTTTTCTAGGCTTGTGGACTCACAGAAAGAGACACTGCAACAATTAAATTACTTAATGAAACTAGAGATATGCTGGAAAGGTAAACAGAAAATATTCATATCGAACTCCTTACAGCTACAGTTTATGTGAGACAGTTTTATAAAGAAAGTGGTGAACTTTCATTTGCTAGATATGACCTTTCAGCCACTGTGCTGCCTTAAATTTTTATATTCCATAATTAAAGGCTGGGATTTTCAAAATTTGAGTGCTTTGAAACTTGTAAGAAATAATCTTGCCTTAATAATACAAGGATGCTTTATCACATCTAACTGGTACCTCTTCCTCACATTTTCTTAGTTATGTAGGGAAAGAGAAGTACATCCCTTCTGACACAAATTGAGAGTAATTATTTTGCATTTACTTGCTTTGATAAAATGAACACCAGTTTTGGCTTATCAGAATTTGTTTTTAATGCATGGTTTTATGAGTGGTTATATGCATCCTCCTACAAGAGCTACTGCAGTGAGGCTTCTAAAATGAGCACTGAATAGGAATAAAGAGAGTCAAATGCCAAACTGTTTTTAGAATGTAACTGCTAGAGATCTGGGGCATTTTAAGGATGAGTCCCTCAGTGCTACTGCCTAGTAAGAAATAGGTAAGGAAGGAATGCTTTCCATTTTATCTTTTATTATCTCTAGGGTAGTGTTGAGGTTGTTGACTGTTTTGCTGTGGAGATACTTGGAGAGATTTGGGAACCTCACATACTCTTGAGATTTGCAGGGGTTTTGGTTTTGGAAAAATGAATCCTAAGAATCAAAACAGCACATATTTACTTCTTCAGTCCAGACTTCAGTACGGTTTTGAGCACGTGTTTAAACAGAGGATTCAGTCAACTGCTGGACAATATGGCGGAGTTCTTCAGACCTACTGAACAGGACTTCTCTCAAAACGGCTCTGTAAATAGGTAAATGTTTTCTTTTGTTGTGGTTCTTACTGTGACGTACTATCACATGAATTCTAAAACAGGCAAGGGATTTTCTTGCCTACTTGAAGTTCTCATGCTAGAAATAACTTTGTTTCTTGCTTTTCAAGAATAAATATGGTCTCTTCGCTTTGGTCAGAGAGCAAGGAGTATTGCTTGTTTCTCCCCAGCCAAGAACCCGCTGGAATTTTCCTGAAGTGTCTTTCTTACCATCACTTGCACATCTAAAAGCAGAAATCAGAAGACTTGATACTTTCCAATTTTTGCCAGTGCTGTACAGACAGACTGCGTTTGAGTTTGGGAGATGTCCTTTCACCATTCCCCTAGGAGGCTGGGAGAAAGATAGCTCTGTATGTCCAAGTCTCTGACTGTTAGTTACAATAGTTCTCAGGGAAGGTAGACATAACTGTGGTTCTCCAAGTGTAACCTACAGAGCTTTAGGTTCTTGTCTGGTATGTTGGAAAAAATGCAAACATTCAGGATCTTCTCCTTTCTAAAAGACTGTTAGAAAAGCAGGTTTTATTCTGAGGTTATCTTGGTTTTAGAACATGTCAGTGTGTTAGAAATCTGAAAGCTACGTTCAAATCCTAGAAATATAATTCCTAAAATATTAAAATGAATACTTTGAATAATAACTTCATATGTTTGTTTTAATAACTCATGGCTCTTAAATAGTAATGTTTGTATTGAAATGTAGCTATTTACATTGCTTAAAATATCCCAAAGGCTTTAGCTTGGCTGTCTCTCCTCAGCTTGGTTAAGTAAGGGTCTGAGATTATAGAAGGACACGTCTAGCAACTACCTTAATATATACGCAGGCAAATACTGTAGCTAAAACATTCATTTTGCATGAGAAACAGTTGTGAAACTGCAATAGGATGACCAATTGATAAAATTTTCTTTGGTAGTTCTATATTAAATGAAAATAGGGACAAACCTTCATCTTGTACATTCCAGTCTGTGGTCTATCCAAAACTAACTACTTCCAACTCTTATTTTTGAAGTAGAAATTATATAGATTAGTAATAATCACAGTTGTCTTACAAATATCCAAGCAAATCTACGTCAATAATTTTTGTTCTCTTCTAGTCTCTCCAGCATCAGTCTTCCTTTAGCCAAGATAATTCCAATAATAAATGGACAGATCCATTCAGTATGCAGTGAAACACCCAGTCACTTTGTTCAGGTAAGAATCTAGCTTCATTTAAAATATCTCTAGTGAAGTTTTGAGATGTTATTTCTTCTTAGTAAAGTGCCTTATTTTGTTTAATTTCAGTGGCTTAAACAAGTAGGAATAAGTAACATAAATTAAACTTTTTGTAGAGCTGTACTTTCCAAAAAAAAGCTTTTTCTCCTATAATCTCTTCCCTTAATGAAACAGTGCAGGAGCAGAAAGGAAAAAAAAACAACCAAGTCTCAGCTTGGTTGTATTTAGAGTTCTGTTCAGGAATTTCATGCAATTGAAAGGTCTGAGTTAGATCTCAGGAGTGCCAGGTGCTTTTCTCATGATCGGCACAATTACGTACTGCAGTAAAACCAGAAGCGTGGTGGGTGTAGTTTTGATTAAGCAAATGTATTCCTCAAATTTCTTCCAGGACTTACTGATGATGGAACAAATGAAAGACTTTGCTGCTAATGTTTATGAAGCTTTTAGTACCCCTCAGCAACTAGAGAAATGAACTGCACACTAATAGGAATAGATCATGTATTTATAACACATCTTTGTGACTACTGCTGAGATTGGGGTTCATTTTATAATGGCGTAGGAGTGGCTGAGCAGCAGGAAGAACATACTGAAAAAACTGGGAGTGAGCCCATAGTCGTTCTCTCTAATACAATTCTATTTCAAATGCCAATCAAAATATTCTTGTTGAAAGAATCACTGTATGTAAAGAATTTTCTATTAAAAAGTTGTTAAACTCTTGCATAATTTGATTATTTTTATTGCATTTGAAAGGCAGCTTGTGGCAGTACTTCTAGAAGTTATTAAAATTGGGAAAAACATTAATTGAAGAATAACAGAACCGAGTAAGGGTTCACGTTTTTCTTTTGTTGTAAAAGACTTCTCCCCTTGACTTTGCAAACATTGCTCCTCATTCTTCAGAAAGCTTTTGCCAACTGCTGCCCATGCCTCTTGAACAAGTTGGGGGTGCTCTCTTTGTTACTTACAGAATGTAGATTTTTAGACGTTCTTGTTTATGCTGTTCAAACAGCTACATTGTACACATTAACTTGTAAATATTTTATCTTAATTTGTATTAATTTTGAGGCTAATTGTCTGTATTGTAATAAAATATTTTAATGTAAACTTTGTGCACGTGTAATAACATTACTTAGCAGAAAAAGCAATACCTCATTTGGCCTGTCACTTAAAAGCCTCGTGGAGTTGAAAAAAGAGAGTGGATTTAACTTACTTACTCAGTAATAGTTTTGCATTTATTAAGATTACTCAAGCCTTTGGTTTCTACACTGAAAATATTCCTGTTTTTTGTTGTCTTTCATCTCCTCCTCCATGCAAATCTCACATGCAGGCCTACCATTATTAGTCCTGATGAGTTTGGGAATTTTTCAACTGGACACAATCCAACTCATGCTCAAAATGTTGTGTTCTTGCCAAAGCTGAGGAGCCCTAGCAACAAATCCTTAAAAAAAAAAATGCTGAAATATAGTTTTTGTTGTTGTTAATAGTCCATAGTTCACAGAAGGCACCCTGGTAACTGTAAAAATAATGGATGTAAACAAGAGCCAGCCTTAACTTTATGACGTGATACAAAACATAGAAAAAAAAAGTAAATTCTCAGAACTCGTGGACAGAATTACTCAAAATAGTTCTGTTAGTGATTCTCGTTATCTTATCATTAGAGATTGAAATGTACATATGCATTGCCTCCATGCATTCATGATTAATTGCTAGTCATTATGAGAGTGTTCTTGCAGCTGCAATATCTATCTCAGCAGAAGCTGCCAGATGTAGCACACAACTGGAAAGTTCATTCTTTTAAGGCTTATATATATGCATTATTTTTTTTTTCTTTTACAATATTTCCATAAAACTCTCAGTTTTCGTGCACTGAAAGTATACAACTTTTATGCATAGTTGTCTGACCTGTTGACCATGAGCTTGTTCTTTCTCAGGGCTTTAAAAAAAAAAAATAATAATAATCTACTGCCCCTTTTCAAATAACTGCCAAGAAACAGACTAAAAAAAGCGAAGAGGTCAAGATAAAGGCTCAGTTATTCACACAAACTCAGAGAAACTAGCTGTACAATAGATAGGTAAGTAATTAGATTTCGTATGAGGTTCATTTCATTCCATCTTGTATAACTGTCTTTCAAAATAAAAAAAAAAAAGATGTTTCTCAGTCAAGTAGTAGTTCAAAGCCAGTGATGAGAAACTGGGCAGGAAGAAAAAACACCAACAATGTAACTTCTGTACTACCCAAGGCTCCAGTGTATGGCTCAGTTTACATCAGTCAGTTGCAAGGTCCAGCCCCACTGACATGGCAATTGCTTCAGAGTTAATTGAGGTAGAGCTACGACAATTCCCTTTTCTCCCATTGCAACCCATTTCAATGGTTCCTTGTAGCCAACCAACTTCACCTGAAATTGAAACAGTAAAATTAGAGCAATGTGTTTTTGAATGCATATAATTGCATATTCAATAAAGGAAAAGTTCTTCCCATTCTACTACCCATTTATTCTTAAATGCCACTTATCAACCGAGTGAATAATAAGAATAAAGGTAATAGGAGAAGTACTTGCTAAGCAGACATGTCAGTAATAAAGCTAGTGAGACTGTGTCTAAATCTGAGACCTTCTCAAGTCTATAAAAGGTCTGTAAACGTGTCAGAAATCTCTGGGATAGGATCTGGGTCTAAGTAGGTATCGGGTACCACAGCAGTGATGTGAGTATCACCTGTTTATGAAATGCTCTTTCCTTGTGCTAGAGCTTGTAGTTTTGAATAAGCATCAGCTTTTACAGAGTACAGACAGGTAACTCAGAACAAAGCTGATCTAAAGAGCCCCTCCCTAGTAAGAGCACATAAATCTTTTGTGGACACTTGTTTGCCAGCTTGTATGAAACATTGAGAGCAATGGGACAGTGTAAGGGAACGACTGAAAAAAAAAAAAAAAATAATCAGTCTCTACCCCTAAGTAATGTTTCTCCTGCTCACAGACAGTCCAGATGCTTCTTTCAAATTCAAGGTGCGTTTACATTTGCATTTTACATAATATTTAGATGGTACTTTTAAAGTTTTTTTGCCATATCACAGACCTGTTTCATTATCAGTTAGATTCTTTTCAGTTGAAACTAAACCAGGACCTTGTATGTTTTTACTCAAGTTCTTTACAGAGTGAGTGGTGAGGTGCTGGAACAGGCTGCCCAGAGAGGTTGTGGATGCCCCGTCCCTGGAGGTGTTCAAGGGATGGGGCCCTGGGCAGCCTGGTTTAGTATTAAATGGGGAGGTTGGTGGCCTGCATGTGGCAGGGGTGGAGATTCATGATCCTTGAGATCCCTTCCACCCCTGGCCATTCTGTGATTCTGTGATCAGGGGACTGAGTCCAGGAACACAAATGCATTTCAACAGCTAGTGAGCATGTGGTGATGAGACCAGAACAGAGCTGACTCAAAGCAAGCCCCTTAAGTGCACATAATGTGGATATTAAGATCTGAGCACCAAGCGTTCTGCTGTGTAATTCTGCCTCTGTTGGGTCTGGGTACTTGCTAATGGAGCTGTGGTATTGATGTCCTTAATTTATGACCACTGTATATCTAGGGTCATATAGAGTTACGTATAGAGTCACTGTTGTGTCCCTGGACATCTAAAACCTTTGTGTGCATCACAATATCATAAAGATGGATATCGATCATAAAGGCCATCCTGGGCTAGAATCTACAGTGGAAAGAGGTGAGGTGGCATAGTTGTTTTCCTGCTATTTGGCCTCTTTTTAGGATCCTCAGTTTGAAAGCTAAAATGTATCCCACCAACAATTTAGCATTAACCTTGATAAGAAACATACCAGTAGGAGGTCTATGACAAGTAAGGTCCCAGAATGAAAACTAATATTCTGCTGGGTCTCTTCCACACTACTCTATCCTAACAGTTACACATTCCCAAAGATGCCAGAAAATAAAATAAACATAGATGGAACACAACAAATACTAGATATGTTTTCCATGTACCTTCAGACTGTGTTCATTTCTTGTGTTACGTGTTATAAACCTCACTGTTCTACAGGGGGAAGCAAGAAGTGTCTTCTTACCTGTGTTTCTGCAAGCCTTGCCTGTGGCTCACCAAGTTCCAGAATCCCAGAGTTTGGCCAGTTAAGGAAGATGGCATTTACTTTGCCTTCCTTTGGTCTGAACGTGTACCTGGATGGAAATGGGAAGCAGAAACATGTCAGTCTTTCCCTGTAAATTTTCTGGAGCAGTATACATCACACTTTCTGGAAAGACTGGAAAAGAACTAATATGAAAAGTTAGCACTGATTACATTTTCAGATGCATAGCCTTCATTTCATAAAATCAATCCCCTTTCTCAAAGTACTATTCCTTGAAAATACATTCTGACAAATTAGAGGTAAGACAGATTAACAATAAACTGAACGTAGAGGTCAACATCTGCAGTAACTTAAGCAAGCAGATGACAACTGCTGCCTTGTCATGTAAGAACGAGGATTTTGGTGAGTAGGGGAAACCATTAACAGATAATTGTGGGTTACATTCGGAGAAAATTCACATCTATAAGGAAACATAGAGGCATTACACTGAAGGACTTAGGATCATGTGGAACTGTACATCTTCCACCTTGCATAGTTAATTTTTTAAAAACCAAATTATAGCAGAATTATCTTGGTGAAGAATTTTTTCTTGATAGCCAACTTATCTATCTTCATTATGTCACTGGAAATCTTGAGCATTCATCTGAAGTATTTCTCCCACCTTACTTCATTGTAATTACATTTTTTTGTCCTCAGAAGCATTTTTATTCAACAGTCATCAGTTTCAAGGCTACAGCCAGATGGCCAAATGTTAACTGGAGCAGGAGTTAAACGAAGCCCAGTGAGGCAGAGAAGTGGCTGAGACCAAAAGCCTGATGGATTATTATGGAGTTACAGCAGCAGTGAGGCACAAAAGCAGAGCAGAGTTCATAGGCTGGCTGAACTTACTGACCAAGCAACTGCTAACATCTTCCTTTTTAAAGGTAAAAACACACAGAAATACAAAATACATCAGATCCCTAGTTTCTTTCTCTCCCCTTTATCTCTAAAGAACACCACCAAGATTCCTATTGTATAGATTTGTATTATATAGACTTTGTAGCAGTTTTAGTGGGAGCTATTGGTAATAGGTGAACGGTTGGAGTGGATGATCTTTTAGGTCTTTTCCAACCTCGGTGATTCTATGATTCTATATTTCTGGATTTTGTTTATTGTTTCTGTTGCCAATTCCACTTAGAAGCACTAAAGAAACTCCTGCAACCTTCCTTCAGCTCTAGCATCATCCTGGAGCTACATTCTCTGACACGCACTGTCTGCATTCTTAGACACACTTCCACATGCAATTTCTTAAATTAACGAAAGGGTTCATTTCTTCAGAACAAGCTGATGATTTCTGCAGTGTGAAGCCTCAAGAATTTTGAAATTAAAATTTTAAATGTTAAAACTTCTACAGCTTTACGCCTTACCACACTTGTGGTGTGACCGTGTCGTTCTGTGCTCTCCACGGTTTCGTTCCATAGATGGCTTCTCCATTGACTTTCAGCCAAGCACCCATTTGCCGCAGGCGTTCCTCAAAGATAGCAGCGACGCGGCCATCGTGAGTGGGCCCGATATTCATCAGGAGGTTTCCTCCACAAGACACTGTTTCTACAAGTTGCTGAAATGTTTTTAAACACATAGAACAGCGGTCACGATTAATGGAATTATATATCTGAAGTTCTTACTACAGCCTGGTACGTTGCTTCGGAATGATGGACTGGACTAGTTAGTGCAAGTTCAGACTCTGCAGGTCCAGCATCCCAACAACCAATGCAAAATTTAAGCTCCCATAAAACAAAAGCTCCACTGTCAGTTTGCATGGCAAAAAATATCCAAAAATACATTTTCACACCAATACATCTGACTGATTCTATTAGAATCAGATCCTACTTTTTTTAAAAAAAATTTCAACTTCTGCTGGAATTTCGCAAGAGATTTCCCAGTAGAACACTTACAGGATTATTTTTCTGCATGAAAAGGGCTAGCAGATGCCACTTCATTTTTACTGAAGCTGGGAAAAGCAATGTTTTCTCTATTTTATGGCCA